ACCTGATCTAACATTACAAATCAAATTCTTATCGTAGAAATATGAGATAAAGCTATCGGCTTTTTGTTAGATTGTATACATGACGTAAACTATATTTTTAAATTTCGTTGATTTTCGTATTTGTTTTTTTAATTCAATTGTTTTTTTTTATATTTTATTTTATTTTTGTAGATATCTCCACTGATGTACGGGGACCTAAAAATTAGTATAAAAGAAGTATCTAAGGAGCATATGAACTTTATGGACTTTGCGCGTAAAGCAACTGAGAAGATGAAAAAAAACGCAACATATACTGGAAATACACTGACTATAAGCAGACGCAAGTGAAGTTATTCTCCAATGGATACTTTAACTCTTACTAGTACAGTTCCCGTGCGATGCACGGGGTTAATTATCTTCGTCCCTTTTGAAAAGCAATTTTCAATTACAATTTAAAGTGCTTACTTACAAAAAAAACAAAAACTTACCTAAAAATGTAAAGTGTAAGGATTATTAGAAAAGTACAAAAAAACAAAAAAAAAAAATATATTATTGAACACTTCCTTATATACATTGTTTATAGTTTGATTCTTTGGCACGTCATCTTCGCCACAAATTAAGATTTTCAAACCAATTCTGTTTGTGACATGGGAGACAGCAACATACAACTGGCATGACTAAACACTGGTTCTTAAGAAATAAGCCCGCATGCGATAATGATTGACCATGACTCTTATTTATAGTCATGGCATAAGAGACCATAAGAGAAAACTTATTAATTGTCTAACAAAGTTTTCACACTGACTTGTAGTTATGATTAGATAATTCTTATTGCTAGTTATTAATTTTTGTTGACAATTAATTCACACTGACTTTGTTGACATTTTGTTGACAATTTCACACTGTTAGTACAGTGCCCGTGCGATGCACGGGTGTTTATTATCTCCGTCCCTTTTATAAAGGGATGTCCAGTTAAAATTCAAATTACTTACTAAATGAAAGAACATGCCATTAATAATTAATAAATTAATAAATATAATGAAAATAAAATCTATATACTATCTTCCTTATATCAATGTTAATAGTTTGATTATTTGGCACGCTATCATCGCCACAAAATAGGATTTTCAAACTATTTCTGTTTGTGACACGGGAGACAACAACATACAACTGATCATGACTAAATATTGGTTTCTTATGAAATAAGCCCACATGTTATAACTATTGTCACTATCTCGTATTTATAGTCATGGTAAGAAACCATCTTTTGCATATGAACCCCACG